CCCGCTCCCTCCCCGATCGTGCCGTCGCTTTCGCACTTTTTTTCGTATCCCCGGCGCAGAGCCGAAGAAAGCGGTTCCTTTGCCGAACCGTTGCCGATTAAATTCGATGGAAAGGTGGGCTTGGATGCGAGTGATTTAGCCGAGACTTATTTCGCGGTTGAATCGGGCGACTAATACATCGGCGTACTTTCATCCACGTTTCCCCTGCACTCGTCGAGATGTCAATACCGCCACTTATCGTGACGCCTTCGCGAAGGGCAATTTGGTGTCCCGTAAACATTGCTAGCGCGCGCTCCACCTTATGAGATTTTTAAGTAGGTAACTGATTTTTCGTCCAAAGCAAAGATTGGATTTCCGTCGAAACGCGAATTTTCTGGAATTAAGGGGAAGCACTTTATTAATTTTATTTATTATAATTAAATTATAAGTAATTTTAATTTATTATAATTAATTATTATAATAATTTGTTATTTATTTATTTATTATCTATATGCATTGCTTCTATATTTTTTATTTGTAACTTTATCAGACGACTAATTACTTCCTGGTCTATTTAGAAGGGGAGTTACTAGCATTGCTTTAAGAGGAATTATTAATAGTATTGCGGGGATAAACTCGTTAAAAAACATCGTTACGCCCTGGCAGTTACGATTAACGTCTTACGATTAGGCTGGAGATTGATGTTTAGCTCCATTTTGTTCGCACTATTCAATACTTGTCTCAATTAATCAACGGTGAAACGGCCACACGTACGCCCACCGGACCTTAATCTATGAGAGGTGCGGTCCGCGCGGAAAGCGCGCGCGCCTCTCTCTCTCTCTCTCTCTCTCTCTCTCTTTCTCTCTGCTCCCTCCTCCGAAGCTATCAGAGTGTAGGTTTTGCGGCAATACGTTCGGGGTGGTAACTGCGGAGCGGTACCACTCGTTTAAAACGCATTAGGGTGATACGGGGGTGGGACGGGCGGTACAAGTCCGTGGCCACTCTAAGCACCGCAATTCCACAGCTGCCGCAATTCTTGTTCGTGCTTTTTGATCGGGGCGCCATCAACGCCCGCTCTAACACTTCTCGCCCTCCCTCCACCCCCTACACCCCCGCACTCCTCCCCGTACGCTTTTGTGATCACGCTCGTCCTTTCCTGTTTCAGTGAGGCCACTGAGTGTGACGATACTCAGCAGCGACCACGCGCCCCTCAGCGCCAATCGAAAGTACGACATTAATTGCATAACAGTGGGCTCAAGGCCGCCGGCCAGGCTGTCCTGGTGGATGGACGGCCAGCAGCTTCCCAATCACACGGACAAGGTAAGGCTATATACAGGCTAATCGACATGATGTGATGTAGTTGTAATCCGTCACTGCGCGAAAGACACCTCGCGCGAAGAAGTTCTTATTGAGAAAAACAATTCTCGCGCTTATTATATTTTTTGTTTAACGCTATATTGTAAGTACAGTCGCTGTTATTAAAAAAAGACAGAGTCAATTTTATTAAAAGTGCTGAAATATCTCTAGATACTTGTGACGCCTTTCTATGTGTTTTCTACGTATTTTATATGAAAAATATTTTTTATACAGATTAATATACTGTTTTCCGGGAAAAGATAATTAATTCAAAGCACTTAAAAAAAACTTTGCTCGGCAAAATGTTGACACATATTTCTCCGTACGATGACTACTCCATTTCCGCAGCTCGGTTTTATATAACCCGTTACGAATGCCAAAAAAAAAACACTCGCCGATACTCGTTTCGGATTCGATTGATAAAACGGCGGTACCGTGCGAGCAAAGTTGTGTTGCGACAAGTGTCGTCGGCAAAATGGAAAGCACAGAAAGGGAAACAAACGACGCGATCCGCGAAATAATTTCCTATTCCGCGCCTTCGCCGAAGTGAAGCGAAAAAAAAAAACAAAATAGTTTATCGTAGTTGCGCGGCTATTTCCGCGTCGCCACGCGCTAAACGCTAATGGCATCATCGATATAGCGGAGGCAAGGATCGATCTCCATTATCTTCCTCCTCGTGTTACGCCGCGAATCTTCTATTTGTATAATATCGCGTATCTCACTCGAACGTATGAAATTCTTATTCGGCGGAACTCCTGCCTCGTCCTGGGGACGACGAGGTCACGCCAACCTGCCGCTGAATGATTCAAACGTCGACGAAAACACATTCCACATATATAGCCATCCTGTGTTTCGTCGTCGTTTTACCGCGTACAAACGCGATTCGCGAACGGTGACTCGATAAAAAAAAAAGGTGACATTTCACCGAGAGTTAACGGTCTACCGGGCCCGAGGGAGGCCCGAAAAAGCGCGCGCGTGCGGGCTTCTTCTTCGATCGCTTCCCCGCGAAATCACTGGCATTAACGCCGGTATCGGTATTTGCATCGTTGCCATTAAGCACCCCCTCTGACACGCCATGGCGCAATTACCGGATAGCGCGGCGATGCTTTCGTGATCTCCCCGCTCTCGCTTCGATATACCCGGCCCGGCTACGATGCCCCTCGTCCCTCGTCTCGCGCACGAGCAATCCACCCCCCTTCACCCTTCGATCCCCGCATTCGCTCCGGACGACGCGGAAACTCCTCCGTTATACGTACTCGAACTCCGGGCGTACCATCGATCTACGCCCTTCTTGCGTTTCCGCGGCGAAACTCTTCCTGAAACGTGATTCTTTGACTTTGCCGCACGCCTTTCCACCCTCTCCTCGCCGCCAAACTACGTTTCGAATCTCGATATACACTGCTCGTGTCTCTCTCTATCTTTCCCTCTCTCTCTCTCTCTCTCTCTCTTTCACCCTCTCCCCCTTGGGCACTATATAAGTTTTAAAGTGTTTCGTTCAGACTGTAAACGTACTTAATTGAATCGATCATTCCACAAAGTATCGCGAATCGACTCGTTTCGCGAGCGGACAGAAAAAATTAATCAATCCTTTTCGTAGAATAATATGGCATCAAAATGTGCATATTGGAAATATAATTGTCCAATATAATTCAGACTTGTTTCGGCTTTAACAAATTTAGTTGTAGTATATCTTGTGCTGTAAAAATTCTTGCAAAAATTATCTCATAAATATAATGCATTTTTTAGATAATGTTTTAATAGACGCAATCAAACAATTCACGGCGGAATCGTCGTTCGCTTTTCTCCCGCTTCAATTAATAGCACAGATCGAGCGATGATAAATGCGAATTCGAAACGACGGACGTTAAGTAAGCCTCTTTGACCTAAGAGCAGGACGAAGTTATCTAATATAGACAGTATAGTATACATACGCATAACTACGAAGCGATGGATACCATCCATCATCCGGCGACTTGTCAATAGTTCTATGACAGATCTGAATGCTGGGAGAGATATATAGTAGCAGGAATAGAGCAACATGAACGCACGATCCATATTTTACTATTAGTTTATTATTATTGTTCTCTTCCCTTTATTTTCCTCTTGCGATTCAGTTTTTAGCACGTTGCTGCGCAAGATGGTAATCCTATAGATTTTACACGTTAGCGTAAAAGTTGAGTGTGATATTATTATTTCTCTAAATTTTAATCGATAGTCGTTTCATTTTAATTATAAAGATATTTTTCACTTAATATTTAATAAACTTTTGTTAGGTTATCACTTAAAAAAAGAAAATAAATATTTATAAATTTACTTGTAGAGAAATATAATACTTTCGTGAAAATATCTCATAATCATTTTTTTTAGAATAGAATTTCAATTTATTGTTAAAATATGCGAGATGAAGTTAAAAGCATCACCTTCTGTCCGGGTCGGTCTGGATTTCGCGCGACGATGATGAAATTGCCGTCGTAAAGCATCGATTTATCATTATATCTGTTGAACGCTTTTACCAGAAAATCCTTCTAGAACGCAATTCGTCGGATGAAATCGAAACGAGCACCGGGAAAGAGTTAACTGTATCCACTTCAATTGTTCTCCTCCGTCATTGTCTTATCCACGATTCTTTGGAAGAATTCACATCGATTTCTGCGCGAGGACGAATTCACGCGCATTATTTGAGCATTGCTCCTACATTGACAAAGCGGCATTTTTGCCTTCTTATCGAATTCACGTGATAATTTGCGCGAGATATAAAGCCCACAATAAAAATCGTGCAAATTGTCTACGATCGCTGAAATCTGCAATAAATTATGACGGAAGAAACGCTAAAGAGATACACGATCTCTGGGAATTTTAACGTGACGCCATTCTCCCGCCGGTTATTTCGTGCATAATCGGGACGCAGTAAAACCTTCCGAATGAAAAATGAGCGCGGGGTACGCGAAGAGAGAGAGAGAGAGAGAGAGAGAGAGAGAGAGAGAGAGAGGGAGAGGAAGAGAGAGCTCCAGTTACGCTGCCGCTCATACACGCGTGGGGGTTTTGCAATAACGATTTCGCTCGATTCGATCGGTGTCGCGCGGGCGCGCGCAACCGGCCATGATCGACGATGATCCGCTAGTGGCGGAGAGATCCAAAGAGCTGATATTTTCCACCGCAAATAACGATCACGTTGTTGGCCGGCGCGCGGCATCCAGTTCTGACACGTTCGCGCTATCTCGCGTTATACGTCATAATATCGCGGTGTCGAATGAAGTTCGGTACCGGTAGACATATCGAGGGACGCGGCGAATGCAGGGGAAGAGAGAGAGAGAGAGAGAGAGAGAGAGAGAGAGAGAGACAGAGAGACAGAGAGACAGAGAACGAGCAGGAGTGAGGCGCGGCAAGAGCGAGACGCAGAGAGAGAGGGAGGGAGGTCGGGGCGGGGGTGGAAGAGAGGGTGGATTGTGGACAGTACAGTTGGCAGTGGGTGATTCGACTTCGCCGATTTATGACCGCCGCGCGAATTTCGAGCCAATTTCGCGTTCGGGGCTTCACGTGTACGTACGTACAATGCGGTCCAAAAGTTTCGATCCTTTCGCCGCGCCGCGTTCGCGGGCCAATCTGCCTCGATCGCGTTATCGCTGCTCGCGGAGCGCGCCGCCGTTATCTTCCGACGAAGGATATCGACGAGATGGAGTGCGCTAGGAATTGCAAAGCTGTGTGCGAGTACGCTGCGCGAGTGGGCTTATAGTTGCATGTTATAAATTTTTTAGATAACACCGTATCGATGCCTCTTCTCTTTCCCTTTTTAAACGATCTCGCGCTTTTGTGCGGCCGCGCTTTTATTGCAGCCTATTTTTCTGGGAAAATACCTGAAATGTGTGTCGCGTGCTTTTTCGGAAACCGTATCAACATGATTTTAATCGAGCTCTTGAGAGAAACTGCGAGGTAGATTTTAATATTTTTTAATGACACAAGTCGTTTTTATTAACCAGCGGCATTTTTATTACGTGCATAAAACCATTATCTCTTCTCTCGTTTCGAAAATGCAAAATTCTAAGCTCATGTGGGTACGTGCTCGGTACATTCGCTGAATTTAGAACGATATTCCGTTAACGTATTCCGTTAAAACGACTGATGTTAGAGAAAGATTAGTGGTAGAACGACCTGACAAATACGATAAGCGCAAATAACCTAGCATACATACATATACAATGTATATATTTGACGCAGGTTGTGCATTACATTTAAGTTTCCCGAAATATTGTGGAATATTAAAATTCTTGAAATTTGAAGAATTTAAAGTATGACGGACCTCGGGATTTTTATATGAGAAATGTTTGAATAAAATTTTTTTGAAAGTTAGAAATATTTCATAAAAATAATTTCATATAGATTCTCTCCGTCCCACTTTTTTTACAATAATTTTATAAATAATTTATTTTTATTTCCATAAAACTCGTATTTCAAAAACAAAAAATCAACATTCACAAACTAAAAAAAAAAGAATTTACATAGCAATGAAATGTCAATATATTTTTATTTGCAACTGTAATTTCGATATTTCTTATTGTTCTTATTGAGTAATATTAAATTCAAAAAATTTCAATTAAAAATTTTTATTTTAGTTTCGGGATTTCATTCAGCCATATGCAATAAGATAGTGGCTCAAATTATGAAGAACATTATTTTGGTAGGTAGTTATTAGATTTGCCACCAGGAAACGGTTTATTAACGACATATGTAAATGACAGATTTTCTTGTAACTTTATGTTACAGATATTCAGTGTTGCATAAAAATAAAATTGTATTTTTAATTCTACATTATTTTAATTAATATGTGATATACGATGTGATGGAATGTAAAATTAGTTAGTTGTTTTAATTGCTGTGCCATTTATTGTCGCTGAAATATAAATTTAAGGAATGAATTTCTTATATCACAACACAGTATGGACAGATTTCATATTTCGTATTTTTCTTCCCTCTACATCTGAATTGAAATGATATCAGACAGTTTCTCATTTCCAGATTTCCAGATTGGATTAGTAATGTACTTGTTAATCCAATTATGTTGCATTACGGGAAGTTTTAACAAATCGCCGGTACACACAAACGTCGAATTTACGCTGCGAGCGATTGACAAATATTAAAATACAGAGTTAATTACGAACTGAACTTACTAATTAAACTCATCGCGACGCCATCCGGATCCGCGCCGTACACGTCATAGCCAGTTAATGATCGAAAAATTTCATTCTGATACCGTACGATGATACGATTAATAAAGCTTATGGCTAATTAAGACGCAATAAACCGTCGAAAAACACACAATCAAAATGCAGTATTGCCCGCGCAACGTGCATTTTAGGACGTGTAAATCCGGACGCGGAACACATGTATTATTAATAAACGATCGATAACACCGCAGCTTTTACTGTTAACTTGAATTACTCGATTTCATGTGTTCCTCTTCGCGCGCCCAGTTTGAGAATGCGTGCAAATTATATATAAACCGTCGAAAAATTTCGAGCGCTACGGAGAAAATACCTTTGAATCGGGCATTGTTAAAGAAATAATTATCGTCCGTTATACCGCGATGAAACGATAACATTATTGTTCCGTATAATTTCTGTCTTTTCGATGCCTGCTGCTACACAGCGATAGATAAATCGCGCGACGGATCCGCTTTGAAAAATAGCCTCGGTCGCGAGTCGTTAATAGCGAGAATTAATTAACCTCGCGGGCCTGGTAATCGCTAATTGCTCGTAGGGAATGATCGTGTTTGGTGTCCGCTGGTACTTGGTCGCTATCGCATTTCGAGAGGGGGTAATGCGATGATACATCGAACGGCTCGTGTCATCATCTTACTCGCTCGAGTCCCACCGCGCGAATGGTGCACGGCAAAATGACCGCATGTGTATACATAACGCATGTGATGTACGCTGCAAAAAACGAGCTTTCCTACGTCATGATCGTCGTCGCCGTCATGAAACATTTAGCGCACTGCAAGCATAAATGCTTGTCGACCTGTTTCTTGCATTTCAAATGGGTTTCAATGAATGGCACATATTATTTCGTTTTTTTTTTTAGCACTTTGTTTAAAAAATGATAATTCCGCCAAATTGAGATTTTGGAAATATAATAAAGATATTATTTTAATCTTAAAGCGATGAACATATTGTATTTTAATTCACCGCGTCTACACAGTCTACATGATGAATATATCTGTACAAAAATGGATGTATTCTACTGTTATACGCAATTTAATCTTTTTTTAATGAAAATTTGAACAATTAATTGTTTTATCTAAAATTACAAAAAAATGTTTATTTGTAAAATAAAATTTATTTTTGCTTTCATCGTAAAAGCAATTTATATTAATGTATTTATTATTGTTATTGCTTTTTTCCTCAGCTCTTACGCTTCAAAAGAAGCGAAATACTGCGTGATTTTAATAAATTAGGAAAATATTGAAAATGATTAAAAAGCGTTGCGAATAAAGTGTTGCGAATCGATTTTATTGTTTTTGTCATTTTTATAAAATTTACAAAAGCCGTTTTGCAGTTTTGCTTCTCTCAGAAAATGTAAAATTGAAAAAACGGTAATGATAAATTAAATTTCATAAATATTTCCCGATTCAAATATAAATAAATTTTATTTATGCTGATAAAATCAGCGCTGAGCAATGAAAATCAATATTAGCTTTAAAAAACTCAGTAACAGATCGATAAAAGATGACAGGACGGTATAAATGTAAAGCGTAATTAAAAGTCTCTGAGAGTACACGCGAATTTTGTGCGATATTATTTCCGCAAAAAACTCAAATGACTCAATGTGAAAACTATTGCGGTTCAGAGATTGTTCTACCATACAATTTTCGCCCTCGATTTAATCTCACGAATATTAAAATATGGTATTCTAAGTGCAGCTCGTAGGCAAACACCATGCTGTGTTTGCGCGGGATGTAGGTGGATTCTTACACGTGAACACGGTGGCGAGGTCGCGCGCATCAAAGGAGTGATCGTGCATACATGTTTGATAATTACATGTTTTCTGACGAGACACCTACCTCTCGCGTACATTTGCGTAAATACAGTAGCCAGTTTCGTGCAACGTTAAAGTTGCGCTCGCGGTAAGGGTGAAATACTCACGTGAAAGCCAGATCCTATTACACCACCCGCAAAGGTGGGTGATAAACGCCCTCCCGGACTGACTCGTCCGGTCATTAAGACTTATCGCCGGATTAACGCTTGGCTTATAAGCCCTTACCTCAAACGCATGCTGCCTCGCGCGCGAGTACGAATAATTATGCCTGGGGCTACGAGAGAGAGGGGAGGGGGGGGTACACCACCATCTCTTCCCGAGGGCCCCGGGAGCTATACCTTTTTAGCGAAATTAGGACTGCGCATAATTTATGGAATTGCAAAAAGGCATTTAGAGTAGCTTAGCCCCGATGCGCGCCACAATGCGATTATTTCTTTCCTGCGTGTGTAGCGGCGGCGTGTTAAAATGCATGTATCACGTTTCTGCATTTATCATCTGCGCGATACCTGGCTTTGACACTAATTAGCAACGAAACTTTAATGAAGCGCCTGCAAATTAATTCTCGTGAACAATGTGCGCGAAATATTCAATAAAATTGCCGATGTAATATCGCACAGCTGACAATGAGTGGATGTAGTTGTTGCAAATTGTTCATTTATTGTTATTCCGATTAACGAATGTATAGTATTTTGATATTAAGTATTACCCAATATTACAGTATATACGCGTGATTTAATTACTCGTAGTTGCGTGGGATGCGCACTTTAATAGGCGTGCTGCGGCAAAAAATATCGGAAAAGCAATTAACGGATGCGACATAAGCCACATTAAAATATGTAATATATAATTATGATTTCGGTATCGACTATCAGAGTAATTTTTCATGAATCCGATACTAAACCCCGAGATCGTTAAAAAAATTTAATATTATAATATTAAATTAACAATTTTTAATATGACGTCGTCTTAAAATAAAACGGCGTCCTAAACTGCTGCATTAGCGAAAAAACCGTATTAAAAATCATTATTAACACTTAAATTAACACTTAAGTGGCTTTGAGAAAACCGATATTAAAATTTCTGAAACGAACAGATTTGCATACAGTAATTCCAATTGCGAAGATGTCACTTAAATTGAATCATTTTCAATTCTGAATCTTGCGACTATCTTTCAATTCCCGTGTTTTACTAACTTTTCAATCGCTCTTATAAAATCGAAATAAAGTTAAATTATTTATATATTTGTATATTTTTTTCTCTTTACATCTGCACAAAAAATTCACCCAATATTTCTTCTTCTTAATCGATGATAAATATAAGATTGTTATGACAATTGCATTAATAATAACGAAACGAATATTGCGATTTGATTGTTGCAGGTGTCACCGGATGGTAACATGACGAGTTCCACCCTGACGTTTCAGCCTGTTCTATCAGATAACAATAAAGTTATCACGTGCAGGGCTAAAAATTCCAAGGTCCAACGTGGCGAATTGGAGCATTCGTGGGCTCTGAACGTTTTTTGTAAGTATGCATCCTCGGTGATACGCAATAGATATAAAACGGGGTTGCGCGTTCAATGATCAATCGGAGATTTTTCCTTGGTGGTATCCAATCGGAACTGCGACGGCTCGATAAAGAAAACAATATCGATTGCATATATGTAGATTAACCCGAACGATGCATTTTGTCTTGTGTACATCTAACACTACAACAACAACGTAATTGGTTTTGTCGGATATTATTCCGAGAACATATGCATCCCGCTATCATGTGCATAATTGGAATAATTACAATCCACTGCGTATACATATATGGTATTGGTACACGCGGGTAGAATATAAAAAATCGGACGAGGATAATATCAGATCACAAACCGATGGCTGAGGTAGACCACCAGTTTACATACTAGTAATGGCAACGCGATATGCTCGGCAGAGCCAGCATTATTATCACTGATATCATTATTCATTAACACATCGTCATCAATATTACGAGCGGGCGAGCCAAACAGCGTTCGATCCGTATTAAAGGATAATAACGGCGCCGACTGGCCGTTTTCTCTCTTTTACACTTGCCGCGCGATAAAAAGTGAATAAAGAATATCTCACGGCGTATAATAAAAACGGTGTAAGTATTAAACCGTATATATACATATATATAGTTCGTTTTTTATTTTTATACGACTATAAAGGTAAACATTAAGTCGGGGGTAAAATTATACGCGTACCATAAACATTTTTCTTTATCCCAGAAATTTCACTTCAACAGGCTCGCCGCGAATATTTTTCCCCTGGAATCGTTTTCATTTGTAAGAGAGTCGTGTAATAATAGTGGAACGACGTGACCGGGGAAGGGAGGGAGATGCAAACATTTCGGAGATTTAAATCCGAATTGTCGCGCATTAAACGCGCGCGTCCGCGTCGCGTAAAAACAAAGTTGGCAGTAATTTATCAAAGCCGTAAACTCATAAGCGGAGCGTCGCGCGGGTGTCGCCTCTCCGTACAATCGACACATCGGAAAATCCGCGTGCGCGGCATATGTCAACGCGTGTGCACGTGTACATAACAGTATAGCGGCCGGGCGAGCGTGCAACATCGTACGCCGCCCCGCTCGCTCGCCCGTCCATCCATTCGTCCGTCTGTGTATGTACGTGTATACATATATCGAACACGGTAAACGGGTTAAAAGCCTGGCAGGCCGAAACAAGGCCGTCGATATAGATTACGTTCGCGCAAACGCGAATGTAATCACAATAACGAGACGTCAACGACGGGGGCCAAAATGGAACGTCCGGCGCGGCGCGACGGCGGCTGACCAGCGGCGACCCGATTTATTTGCCCGCCGCGGCATCTCGACGCTCGCAAATTTTTGGTAACCTCGGAGTCCCGTCACGGAGACACCGAGTGATAGATTTATGATATCCGCGATATCTTTTTCTCATGCAGTTCCTTCGAAATGCATCATGTTCGGCATCGCGTTTGAGACCTTTCAACACTTCGTCACTCCTTCGAAAGTAAAAGTGTATTTGGTTTCTCGGAAGCGACGCTCGAAAGCGAAAGTTTTTTTGGTTTCTCAGAAGCGACGCTCGATGGTGTGTTGAAGTTGGCACCCCCAAATTTTGACAAAATCTACATGGCATTAGATTGTCCACAATTTGTCCAGATTTGTCCAATAATAATAATTTTTTGTCCACTCTTGGAAAAAATTTAAAAAAAGAAAGAAAACTTTTAACGCATCAAAATGACCGTCGGATAATTTACGCTTCGCGATTTCGCGATCTTTACAAATTATGTAGTTTGTCGAAAGTCATGCCGCGTGCGAATGAGTGTCGAATCGAATACAACAGGCGATCGTCCCACGTGTTTGTTAGTTCCCGCGTGATCGTTTTGTAAAATTCGATAAGGACGTCGCAATAATCTAATCTGCATTTCCTTATAATTCGTCCGGTCAGCTGCGTGTGGCGGTATATATGCCGCTCGAGTGACAGTGATAGCGTAAGTCACTGTAAGTGCAAGTGCATTGTAAAGTCATTTAAAGTGATAAGGAGCAATTGCGAAGTGAGCGAAGCTAAAAGAGTGCATAATTAAGGATACATATTATAGCCGAAGAGAGGAAAAAGAGATGCTCTTGGAAACAAAGAGAAATGAGGCGATGGCGATGGCGCGTTGGTCGGCGAGAGTTAGTTGCATTCCACTTTATCACTTATCGTTCGATTCCGAGCGTGGCACATATAATTATTCTAACGATCCCCGTATGTGTCTCGCATTTTTACGCGATCCCATAAACAGCGATCGCATAGTCGCGCGCGGGAAGCCTTTTTTTCCTACCCAAGATTTTTGTCAGAGAATCGAGCCTCTCGGAGGGAAGGGTCGGCGGGATGGTTGGAAATTCATAAGTGTCAGTTCACAATAAGGATTTTAAGTCTTCCACTTATTGACCAATTACGATCGATTATTCTCATATTCGACTACGATTGGCCTATTTCTTACTGCTTAGGGCTTAAAATCCTCATTGTAGACCGACACTAACGCGACATACGCACGCGGCACTATAGGAAAGTTCCGGCGCGAGAACAAGTTCCACCGTTCCGTTTCCGAGTCGGATCCTCGGCGAAAGATGATTGTGTTATAATTCGTCGCGGAATTCTATTCCGCGAATTTGGGTATTGAGGTTGAAGAGATACTTTCGGGTATTCTAGTAATAACAATAAAAAAATAATTTTGTAAAAATATTTAATTGTGATATCTACAGAGGACCAGTTTCTCTTTAATTTTATTTTCTTCAATTAAAATGAGTGCTCGGATAGATATCGAAGCTCATGTTCGCTTGTGCAATATTTGTAGAGTTTTCTTTAAATTACAAACAAATAGCTTAAACAAATAGCAATGACTGTTTCAATAATCTTTCAAAATTGCGCATGCGATGCAATGTAGTTAAAGACTAATTTCTCTTAATAATTGAAGATATGTAATCTATTTATCTCGAAGAGACGTGCTTGTGTCATCGAAACGCTGACATCCGAGCAAGATACTCGCGGTACAGTCACGAACATTTTCTTCTTGCAGTTGTCCCAATTTTGCGCCTGCAGCTCGGTTCGAACATGAACCCGGATGACATCGAGGAAGGCGACGATGTGTACTTCGAGTGTAAAGTTCAAGCGAATCCGGATGCCTACAAAGTCGTGTGGAAGCACAATGTAAGTCGTGGATTGCGAGTACATCAAAATGTGAAATACGAAATATGAAATATGTGTGCGCGAAGAGCTTTCTGTTTGCGAGTTACATCCGCGCGTATACGCGTGTATACGTCGTTAAAAATTTTAAGCACGACAATGCGAAAAAGCCCCTCTGATATCGAAACTTTGCGCCCTTTGGACGGAAAAATTGTAGATAAAAATGCATTATTCCAATTGGGTGAAAGCTCCCAGGTTTTGAGTTTGAACAATGACCTCTGGATTCCCTCGAGTGATATATTTACGCTTGAATAGTTCCTAAAACTGTTGGCGCAGAATAATGGCTATTGCAGCCGAAACCGACAAATAGGGAAACAAACTTTCCGCATGCCTAAAACTCTTCTCCCCCTCCCCTCCTCTCTCTAAATATTACTCAACTTGTGCGAAGCCGTAACGCGAACGTAACACAATTACGCCGAAAGAGTATCCTTTGATATAATCTTAAGTGCATCTATATAAAATTAGCTCGTCCTTTACCTTAATTAAATTTCCATTTATGCCGGTGGACGTGGTGCTGGTTTTACACTGACCGCTTCGCGACTTGTTTACTTTTAAAGCTGCACCAACCGAAATTTTCCGAACAGAATGCAAATACGTACTGCAGGAGTGAATAAGTTTCATTTCAATAAATTTTATCTCTCGACGTATTGCGGCTCTCCCTCGCGTGTAGCAGTAGCAAAGGGCTTGAACTTCAACACCGCTCGAGGACCGCCTCCAAAGGGTGTACCTGCAGCCGGAGTACATTAAACGGCGGTACCAATATAAATGGCGGTGTAATACTCCGTTGCTCCGACGCTGTTTTTACGGTCGCACGTTATATTCGTAGATCTCATTACGCGTCGTTTTCTCTTTCCCCCTTCTTCCGCCCCTCTGCTTTACCCGCCGCGACAATGTTCTATTCAACGTTTCGCATCCTTTCTACCTTCCACGCTCCGACGTCATTATGTATTGTTTAATATAGTACGTTATATTATGGCACGGTGTCCGTAAATGCTTTGTAAATACGCGAAATGTCCAACTTTACCGACGCCCGTCGTTGGCGTAGCAGTTAATTAACTCGATATTAATAAAACCCCATTTAATTAAGTAAAATCCCATCTCCGTCGTCCCGGGGTCGTGGAAGCCCCGTCTATCGCAGCGCTATTTTCACCTTGAACGTGAATTTCATCTGGACACAAAGATTATAAATCATTCTGCGCTCCGCGAAAATCCGCGTTCCCCTCTGCTTCGATAAGTTTCAGCGTCGATTAATTAAAGCGTTCGATTCGAGCGTAATTCGCGCGTACAAGAAGCCCGTTCTTTTATCGCCGCTCTCGGTTGCGCCAAAACTTTCTTTCTTCGCTTTTACTTTTAGCTTCGAAAAGTCTTGGCGATAAATAATAAAGCATCCCTATAAATTGTAAATATTTAACAAAAAAAATGAAAGAATAAAAATTAAAGAATAGTCTTTTTAAAAATGATATTTATTTTTATAACAATTTTAATTTTTCTTTGACTTTTATTACCGCCTTTTCCAATTAGAAAATACAATAAATTGAGGATGCTTTATATATTTATGGATAAGACTGTATATTTCATCTTAAGTACGAGTTTTATGCTGTTAGTTTAGCTGTAAAGAACAGACCTAATGACAAGTCACAAATTTTCGATGGCGATAATGATATTACCATGTAGATTGGAAATAAGACGCTAGCCGTGAAATTGCGACGACGCGGACGGCGCGCTTCGATCTAATCTGCGAATTCGCCATTGTTCCAGGGAAACGTGATTCAGAATAACGCGAAGAACGGCGTGATAGTCCAGCAATACGGTTTGGCTCTCAGAGAGGTGAATCGGTCCCAGGCCGGAAATTACACCTGCGTCGCCAGCAACGTCGAAGGCGACGGCTACAGCAATGTCGTGGAGCTTAAGATCATGTGTGAGTATCATGCGGCTATCATTGATATTACGTACGCCGTATATAAAATGGCATCCGTCCGTGCGGCAAAAGTGCAGATAAAAATGCATGCGACGACGCAAACCGGCCGTCGTTGCATACGTTTGAATGCGGGGAGAGAGCTCGTTTCGGGCGTACAACTTTAAATCTTCCCTTCGACACTGCAGCGCTCGACCTCCTTTGCCGAAAATAACGTTTCTGCCTCGCTCTTTATAAAGCGCCCCAGCCCCGATTACTCCGTTTTCCGCCCGAAATCCCCGTAATTATTTTGCCCCGTCAAAGCGGCGCTCTCAACGTCGCAAATATTTCAACGTAATACGATGTATAAACGGCACGGCAACGTGTAACCGATGACTGACATTTAAATAGCGACGTTATTAAGCGCCTTCGAGGTGGCTTTGGGAAGAGTGAATCGCGAGACAGAGTCTAGCCTCGTAATTGGTCACCGGGCTTACGTGGGCTTCGTGGGGATATTATTCGTGAATAAACGTCAAATATCAAGATGTCGCGGCATGATTATTCATTAAAAACACGCTGAAAGCGGCGTAGGGATGAAGCGATGGGGGAGGGGGGAGGAAGCGAACGGAAGAAAAATATAGGACGATCCACAGCGAGCCAACAAATTATTCCGAACTGGCAAACTCGGATTCTCCCATACCTCCCGTTCGACCTTCGTTTACTCATTCCGCCGCGAAAAATGGGGAAACTATTCAAGCGAGCGAGCGAATAATGCCCATCGATCTTTCTCTCTCTCTCTTTCTTTATCTCTCTCTCTCTCTCTCTCTCTCCCTCTCTCCCTCTCCCTCTTGAAAAGCCGGGCGGTGGTCATCCAGCTTCGCGCCGTGCCCTCCTCCTTCCCCTCCTCGCGCACTTTTAATAAATGCGCGTAAACTCCTCGGTTCTCGATCTCCGTATCATATGCTGCGGTTCTCTCTGTCCACTGTATACACTGAGAATCGAACTGTTTTGATTTATCAGCAGTAAATTTTTATGCCGAGATTATTCGCTATAGCTGTACGTGTAATTATTTAGATAATATCTTAGATGTTCTTTGAGCCATAAATATATTAACGTCAAAGAAACAAAAGAGATCGTCTCGATATCCAACAATAAAATTTAAAGGAAGTACACTGAATACATTCATGCTCGAAATTTGATTTTGATGAAACGATTTATGGGAGCTGCGCCACCATGGGAGATTGATCTAATAAAGTCGCTCGGTCCACTTTTTTCCCCCCTCAGACAAACCGATCTGCGTGCCGGATCAGAAGCGCATCTACGGGGTGGCGAGACACGAGGACGCGCGGGTGATATGCAGGGTCGAGGCATATCCGCCGCCGGAGAGCTTCCGCTGGACCTTTAACAATACCGAGGAGATGGAGGACGTACCGCAGGCGCGTTACAAGAACTCGACCAGACATACCCAGAGCATCCTCACATACCGGCCGGTCACGGAAATGGACTACGGCACCGTGCTCTGCTGGGCGAGCAACACGGCCGGCCAGCAGAAGAATGCCTGCATATTTCACATTATTCCTGCGGGTACGTACGCACGCGGTGTTATACCAGTAATGCTCCGACTTCTCTCTCTCTCTCTCTCTCTCTCTCTCGGAGTCGCTTAGGATTTCCGGGAAAAGTTCCGGCGAAGCGTTCTGCGAATCCGCATGCCGAGCGTTTCGCAACGCGCCACGCCACGTCGCGCCGGAACAGCGTTGTCTGTTGCTAAATCAGTATCTCTCAAATAATTTTCATTGAGACAGAGAAGGCGGAGTGGGAGAATTGTAAACAATGTTAATGGTGCGTGCAGGCAAACCGGAAGCGCCGTACAACTGCACGCTGACCAACCAGACCACCGAATCACTCTCGGTGGAATGCACCGCCGGTTTCGACGGTGGTCAGCCTCAACACTTCCTCCTTGAAGTGTTCGATCAGCACACGGGGATCCTGCAGGCCAACGTCACGTCCAGAGAGAATGCGGCTTTCACCGTGCAGGGCCTCGAGCCGGGCAAGGTGCTGAATATGATCATGTACGCGGTGAACGCGAAGGGCAGAAGCGACCCGGCGCTGCTGGAGGGTTTCACGCTCAAAGTCGCCGAGAAGCAGACTGGTAAGTTGTGCCAGAAATATTCCCTTTCGTTCCGCCGGGATTCGTGGAATTGCGAAGATTGACAAAACGTCCCTTCTCCTTCCGCGATTAAATATTGTCCGGAATAAATCACGAATTAGATTGTTTATAAAAGTTTATCGTACAAACACTAACACACATATATAGAATTCGTAATAAGACGTCGATCCATCAAAGTCTTTATTCTCGCGGAATACGGTGGGACAACGTCGCGCCGTCCCGGATCCATAATTGACATTAGCCCCCCTCCCCCCCCCCGATCGGGATTAATGATGATCGACAACGTCGGAATTGGACAACCGGTCTCGCTTCGGACCTGACGCACGCTCGATCGATCGATGTCCCTGCATCCCGCCGAAATAAGTAATTTGATAGGAGGTATACGAATTACCGCAGTGCAGCGCCGCTCCATAAATTATGAGAGTGGCCGGGAGAAACGCCGGGACTAATCGAATTAGCGAATTAAATCGAACGGACCCGCGCGGATTGTCCGTGTAACGTTTTAATCCGCTCATCCGATCCGAATCCCCGAGTCGAACCCCCGGATATATACCCGCCCGATCGTTTCTCGCGGCTAAAGAGCACTTGAACCATACGAAAGGTTTCACCGTGAAAATTGAGCATCTGGGTCGAGAAATTCAATCGGCGGGCGGTGGCGCGCGCGCGAACACACACACACACGCACGCACACGTACACACGCGCGTGTACAATCACCTGGGTGGATATTACGCAAGTTATGTCCACGTCATGTGTGCGCCGATATACGTATGTATATTTTGTGTGTGTGTGTGTAGATTGTTCTACGGAACGGCCGTCCGCCCGCCGCGAGTAATCTATTCTGACGTTTTCCAATCCACTTACACGAAACGACCTCGGCCAAAAATTGGCGGCAGTTCTGGCGGTGCGTAAAACGCGCACTTGCCGCCAGATTTACTCGCGTGCCCCTTCGAAACACGAATGCCTCTTCGAAACTCGAGGCTCATTTCGAACCGGTGCAGTGCCCGGCATTATTTTGCGGCCGATTCGATGTCGCGATGAAGAGGCAAGACGTTACATTCCGCGTCCTGGTAAAGACAAAGAGAAATTCCATCCGGCAGGCGAGATGATAAGATAAAGAGAATATTTGCATGAGTCGGAGACAGGTATATCGTGAGTGTAATTATTCGAGAATTAATCTCGCCGTCCACCTGTAATTACGAAAGTGGGAAAGATCTGTAAGAGTAACTTTTTGTTTTCGCGAGCAATATAAACACCCCCAACGAACGAAGGCGGCGCGCGGAGTGACACGCCGATGGAGCCTCCCTCGCGCGATTACTCGTCGTAAAATCGCGGAAAATTGACGGTAACTTTGCGAGGGGCGCGAGCGCGCGCGCGAGAACCTTCCTTAACAAGACTTCGCTCTCGCCTCTCGCGTTCGCGAAGATTCGTTCACGCGAGACCCTCGGAATCCCGCGAGCAGTGCACCAGACGTAAGTACATTCCGCTACAGAGACAAAGGGATTTCGTAAACAGAGGGAAGAGGGGGAGAAGAAAGGAGGGTCGACTTACGTATCCGTAAGGAAGGCGAGCCGCGCGCGCTGGCTGGACCGCTATACCAACGAATCCCACGCGGTTGATCCCGGTCCAGACGCCCAGAGAGAGGATCTCGTCGAATCCATCCCTCGGCGGCTGCCGCGCCACCGTTCATTCCGTAGATTTCTGGCTGGTAGGATCTCGACCAACGCAGAGAGATTCAGGATCTACCACTCTCTCCTAGAACGAGATATACTCGACCCGTACGGACGATACATATACACGCGCGCGCGTGTATATGTGTGTATATATATATATATATATATATATATATATACATATCGGCTCGGGACGAATTTACAAGTGAAATTGCTCTTTCGGTCAGTTTCCACGGTGCGATTCAGGCGAGTGCACCCGTCGCGTCGCGCCGCGCGCGCTACCCGTCCGATGTATATACGTACGTACAGGTATATAAACCAACGTACGTATGCGGGCGGAATAGTCTGTTCGAAAATCGATCCTGCCACCGCCGCCGCGAGAGCCCGACGAGAGTGTGAAACTTTAATAAAATTCCGGGATCAGCCACCTACCTTGGCCGCCTTGTGCACCGTTATCGTCGTCCTCGCCGTCTCGCTTCCGCTCGCACTCGTACGAGCGTTCCGCGAAGAACGCCGGAGGAACGCCTGGCGATCCCCTTCGTCCACATGAACGCCCGACCCAACACGCGACTGTGCCAACTGAAGCGGAGCCGGAGAGCGGGAGAGCTTTGAAAATCTCGGCTCGTTGCCTTCCCGCGTGCTCCGCCGATATCGCGCCGCGGCGTGAAACGCAAATTAGCACGTATAGCTTGTAACACGTGCGACACCCGCATGCGATACCCCGAACACGCGCGCGAATTTCCTACGGTGTAAATACCGCCGGCGAAGAACCGACCAGTCCGCTCGAGATGGGGCGGGAAGGGAGCGGAAGGGGATATCTCTGCCATAGTTTTTAATTTGATCTATCCGGGGGAGAAAAAAAGAACAAAGAGACCGCTCTATTTCCGCGATACGATCAAATACTCGCGAACGGGCTTAATTCCATTTGTCGCGTGTACGCAAACTTCCGCGACGTGGAAATTTCCGGCTTACGATCGGATACCGTATCGCGCGGTTCGGCAAATATTATTGGTGGGACAGTGCGTGTATTAAAAGTTCTCTCGCGTTACGAAAAATAAATATACGTTCACGAGGACAAAACGTAATTTATCATTCGTCACGTGCAGGTATCATCGGTATTTAACGGTAAACGGCGCGATGTTTGTTTTGCAACTAGTTGAGTATGATTTCGCAACGTACGACATTCCCTCGCTTCTGCCCCGCCCCCCCCCCCGTCCTCGCAGAAAGTCAAATAACGATATCGGCGAAATAACGATTGTCACAAATGAAACAAACAAATTAAATCCATCGAGTCGGCAAATCAACTGAATTTTCGAAAAAGAAAGCAATGATGAACGAGAAAAAACATTAGCCGTAAACACTGTTTCTGTTTGTCATACTGTAACCTAACAGCATTCGTTACAATTTATTATCGGGAAAAAACGAGCATTGCGACTGAAATGGTCAGCCATTCTCTCTGCATGTGTATTGACTTTACTCGTCTATTATTTTGAAATTTTAAGAGCGTTCTGTGATATCTTCAAATCGGAATCCTTGTAATTGAAAAATTTCATTTTTCTCACTCACATATGGTCAAATTAAAAGAAATGACAGATTTTTTCTTGTAAAAGATATCCGAGTACGATTTACCGTTTTATAAAGTCACCACGTATATAAAAATGTGCGGCGTATAAAGTTACAAGTGATTCGATCATTTGAGAAAAACTCTGTAAATCTAATAATTTTATTTTTGAAAAACTAAAAAAAACTGGGGAATTTCCTAATTCTCCAAATTTAGATTTTTTACTCGTGCAGGGGTTTCTCAAACGATCGATTCAAATAGTGTCCTATCCTAAAATGCCTGCATGACACGAAATACAGGTCGCGAAATATAGAGCGAACTTCGGGGAAGCTTATACGCGCCGGAAGAGATCGCCGAACAAAAAGCGCGTCCGTAAAAATCAACTGGAATTAAGAACGGAAATGGGGGCGGGGAGGACGGTAGAGGTGACGATGGAAGGTAGATGGCAGGTAAATATCATGGGTATCCCCGGTGCACTTTCGCCTTGATTAAAAATTAACGTGCACTTTGGCTGTGCATCGGAGCACGGAGTAAAAACACTCGGTCGCTCGTGACTAAAACGAGTGGCAATTACGAGCGATGTCTCTCAGGAGGGTCCGGGGCTAAGGAAAGAGATTAAAAAACGGACGGGGTTAGAGTGCGATAGCGGGGGGGGGGTGTAGCGCGCGGGCACTGGCGCGCACGACGTCGACGACGACGGAGGGAGAGAAGACGTGGCGGAAGACGGGCCGCGTGGAAAATTAAACGTCGCCCGGGAACGGTGTTTAAACGTGGAGAGATATCAAAAGGATTCGAATTCATTAATCTTAGAAATGGTAGGTAGAGGTAGTCAGATGGCTCCATTCTCGCGTCCCCGGCCAAATATCTCGAATCTTTTTACGGCGTAATGCGACTTTAACTCGTTTAACCCGTTTACCCTCGGCAGCCCGTCCGGAAAATTGTCCCGCCCGACACTTCCCTCGGAGAGAAAGAGAGAGAGAGAGAAAGAGAGAGAGAGCGCCTGGGGTTTATTGTTTCGCGTGAATGAAATATTTTCGCGCGCGTAACACAAAAGCGCCGCACGCAAAATACACGATGCCCCGACATATTCGGCGTTAATTGTTAAACATGCCGTCACACTCACCGTGTACCGTCGTTACTTTATTCCGATCCTACGATGCGTTCAAACGAGAATTTTCTGAAAGAAAGATCACCCACCCCCTTTTTTTTCTTGTAAATGTAATCGCAATTTCGCAATGTCCGCACGAGCGGAAAAATCTTTGTATCGACTTGCTTGCACGAGAGCAGTGCGCGTTTTGTTCACAGGTACTCCGGTACCCTTCGAGTTTACCCCGTTACTCGGCAGCCTGATCGGCGTGGTCGCCGCGCTCCTGCTCATCACTGTCGCCATCCTAGCGGCACTGAAAATGAGGAGCGAGAGGCGGGCTCAAAGGCCGGGCGATTTACCGCTAAAGAAGGCCACCGCACCGAGTTCCGAGGACCTTTACGATGCGGACGACAGAAATCCGGACGTTGTGCCGACCAACAAAGGTACGCTTTCACCCTGTACTTTGTACGAGGACGTGAATGGTTAAAAAAAAAAAGTGAACCTCAAACGCTGCGCGTGTATGCGTGTGTACTCGAAAAATTACACGACGTCGAGCAAACGTATCACGCCTGCCAGGTTTTATTACCGAATTGTTTAATATTTTGCGTCGTTTGATGTGCGCGCATTTTACGCGTACGAAACGCGTAAACGCGTGAATAAAAACATCGGCGGAAGTATCCGTATGCGTATACCCGGCGCACGGCGAGCGCCGACGCACGGTCGCGAGAATTCGGACAATGCACGAAATTATTTGGCCGCGTAAATCGCGTGCAGCATCCCCGCCGGCTGCCTGCAGTGCCTGCCATATGTTACACGACGGGTAAACGTATAAACGTACTGGCTGCCTCGATACACGTCGATCGGCGGTCGATACGCGTGTATGCCCTGAAAATTTTAAACGTATGCATGCCGCGAACTAAAGACGAGGTATGACGTGATGCAAGTGCACTCGTACCCGACACCCTGCCTCTTTTGTGAATGGCAGCGCACGCGAAAACTTCCGCTCGCACGCAGAACAAATTCCGCATTTTCATCCGCAAGTTTTTGAAGGATTCGCAGCTGACGCTCTCTTGCAGTTTAAAGTCGAAGAATCGCACGTATATGTACGTGGTCGCGCGAGAAAAATGAGACAGACGTCAGATTCTCGATTTCGTGTCGTCGATAATAACAGAGCACTAGAATCAAGTCCAAATTGCACGTGAATAATGTTTTCTCTCCTTTATTCTCTGTCTTTGAAATTAGATAATACTAAATGCTTAATTATTCCTTTCTATATAATCGACGTGATATCTGATTTCACTTTTTTTTGGGGTGCGCTTTAGCAAATTTATTTTAGAAATATCAAGCTTCCAATTTGGATAATTAAAAAGCATCAGTCGTGACGAAACGAATTTCCTCTCTTAACCCCTTTGTTTCTTTTAGATTTATCTTTATTTTAATAAAACAATTTTATGCATTGCTTCTGACTTTTATTATTTCTTGATTTCGTTAACTATAAATTTTTAAGTAAAACTTTTTAGCGGAATCTTTTTAATTCTTAAATAGAGATTTTTATATAACAGATATTTTTTTTATATGTATAACAGAGATAATACTATATAGGGCTGGGTTAATATTGAATCACGTAAAACTGCAGTTTTACGCAAACTAAATTTAGAAGAAAGAAAGAAAAACAGGGAAGGAAACGACAGGGTTAAATGTTGCCATTCCGAGGGCTTAACGTACGCCTCAAACGTGGAAATTTTATCAGCTACATTTGCCTCGCCGCTGGCTTTCAAGCGTAATATCTGATTGACAGCGATCGAGAACACTCGGCCGAGTGTACTCGAGACCGGAAATTCAGCGGACTCTATTGCGAATCGCGCCGCGCGATTCGTTAACGGCATCGCACAACGCTATGCTATGCGTCATTACATCGCTCGCAGTAATACCGCGGTAACAGCGCTGCCGAACGCGCGGTTATGGTTGAGTATACAGCTGGTAACCATAGAACTTAACCCCCCGGACTTGTTAATAAATTACCCGGCCGATTACGAGCGAGACTTGTTCACAGTGCTCGCTTATGCGAATCCGATACGCAACGTTCGAATAGCAGCCATTCGCGCCCCGATGAGCTTTGCAAATCTGCGATAATCGCGAAGAAATTCTTTACAAGCCTTTTTAATGTGAAATTATTAACTTTTTATAGACATATTATTTTTATTTTTTCTTTTTTTAGGGGGGGGGGGTGAAACAATCGAAACAAAATATCGGCACGAGTTTCGATCTCTAAGAAAAAAAAAGGAAGCAAATTATCTCTTTTACAATTATCAGCCATTTTATATTTATAATACCGAGTCCGAAATGTATCCGGAACGCTAATTTGCTGTCTAAACGAGATATATAATGTTAACTTAATGAAGAAAATTACTCTGGACGCGATATTACTTAGTTAATTATTTAATCACGATCGAAACGATATCTGGTTATGTACAAATTACTATTTAATTAACATATCGCATTAGCATACCGCTCCTCGATGAATTAAGCCAGGTATCGATACATTAGTAATGCCTTGTAGTTATTAGTTTATTACGATAAAGTTCAGTGCGTCATCACGAATGTGAATTAATGATTTAACTAGTTTAATAGCATAACGCACACATTATATCGCGGTTTTCTTTTCGACGAATGATACAGGGAGCTCTGTGAATAATTTGCGCAACTGTGCCGCTTTGCAGCATCTAATTAATTCTTAATGAAATCGGTTAAATCAATAAAATATCTAGAAACTGGCACGGTATTAATTTGTAAACGCATTAAAAAAATACTTTACCTCTTGTTTACATTTCTTATATAAATGTATATGCGATTTATTTATTTTATTATTTAAATATTTGAGAATTAAGGAGAGAAAACCATTATATTTATTCTACGGCAATAATATATATGTGCCAAGAATACACATTTCTATTTTTTTTTTATAAATATCTCCCGTACAACTTTTACCACGCGTTATTTGAAAAGTTCACGTTTACTTACAAGTTCTAATCGATATGTCAAGATTCGTTCGAAAAGCAGACGTGAACTTTTCAAACAAGACCATAGTCGATAATATCTTGCCGCGAGGAGCAAAGTGGGAAATTTCTCATGTACTCGAAAACGAAAGATTCAGATTATCAACTGACCGGCTCGACTTCCGGCACACCGCTGGCAACGCAAAACACACCGGATGGCCTTCCACCGTCGTCCCTTCCGAACCAGCAGACGAATAATCACCTGCAAGGACTTCCCGCCTATTCGCACAACGACTATAACAATTATCCAACCTTGCCGGTAAGTACAGCGTTGAAAGTTCTCTTTTTCTTTAGTAAAATTAGTTTTCTCGATTTTATAGCAGCAAAAAAAATTAATTCCCGACGATATAATGGTAGATATTCGGCCAAAATTCGGAAAATTATTAGTTAACTGTAAAAATGCATACATAAATGTTTTTGTAATCGATCGTGCCAAATATAATTAAAACTAGTGAACCCAATATGTAGCAGTCGCACAAATAAAAGGTTTATTGTAATCTTATAAAAATGCATATGTAGGGGTTTTTGTAAATTGCCTCGATGTCAAATACGAGGTTTAAATTTCAAAATTTCAAGTGACAGATGCAATATGACAGACGCGAAAATGAAAATTTCATCAAAATCTCATAAAAATGCATATATAAAATTTGTATGGTCATTGACGTCAAATATGATTAAATTTCAAATTGACAAATCCAATATAGCGAACACGAAATTGGATAATGCCCATGAAATTTTATAAAAATGCATATGTTAAGGTTTTTCAAATCATTAATTCATACCCGTTCCTCTGCGTATGTATTTATAGCTATACATAAACAAAAAAATAAAGAAAAATATACAATATAATAATACTATATATTTATAATTTATACCTATTTATTATTGATGAACATTTTATAAACTGTATTTTATATATTATTTTTATGTTGATTATTTTGTAATATTATTGTCAATATTTCGATAATGATTTTTGCTCTCATTGTACTTTTATTTCCTTTTCTCGTTTGTTTCTCAATCCCATCAGTCATCAATTATGTGAAATGATTCTTCGGTTATATTTCGGAAGACGTTATATTTTTGCGCATAAATTTATTTTAAAACCAATTACTTTAACACTTTGATCACCACGCTAAAAAGGCCACACTTACACAGCAGCCGTGGCACGCTCTGCTACTACGTTTAAAATCTGAAACTCAAAAATATACTTACACTTCTTATTTTTATTTTCTGTCTAATTTCTGATTTCCTTAAATATAAATACTGCCTACAAATGAATGTACTGAAATGAAATGCATGTCACCCGTGTACAGGTGGCGCGGCCAGTCAATATGATAATATTAATACATCTCGATGCGTAAGATAGATAATGTGGAAATTGAATAGCGTATTATAATCCCGCGAAACACTTTAGTGAATAGCCGCCAAATGCAAAAGCCAATTCTCTAACAAACTCTAACAATTCCCTCCGGAGTCTATGTTAAATTATACTTTGTTGTCCCGCTCGGTACAAACTATATGCCGTATAGTTGCTACAGCCATTACGTGTAAATGAATGTTCCGATTTCGCGAGAGGGAAATGAATGTAATACGACCTGCTTTGCAGCAGAGAGAGAGAAAGAGAGAAAGAGACTTTAAACAATTAAAGTCGATAGTTAAAATCACGAGAATTTTGTTAGTCGAGCGCGAGCGCGCGAAGGACGTTCTAATAAAGTTAATAGGTTCATCCAGTGAGATGGGAAACTGAGGAAGTGGAGTGCAAAGAAATGGAAGAAGCGAAAGGCAGTTGCGCCGAATCGCGCCGTTGTCGTACCGTCGCGCCGTTCCCCTTTTCCCTTCGAGAGAGCTTCGCGAAAAGCTCCGGCCAACCGTATCCAAGAAAGTCCTCCAGCGGTGTAGTTTGAAATAACAGTATCCCCGTCCGGTGAGAGGACGGCGTTGCGTAAAGTTTCAACCGGAAAGCAACGCTTCCAGCAGTTCGAAACTAGAAAATTGCACTGTCCACGTCGTCGCTTCTCTCGATTTTGAGGGGGGGGGAGGGGGGGGACATTCTGAGGTCGGAGAAATTTCAACGCCATGATTACAGATAACAATCTGTCTGAATGAAATTATTTTGCGTATCAGCGATTGGTTAATTGGATTATGAACGTGAAAAAGAAGGGATTTCCGTCTCGTGGTACGCGCGGTCGGAATCTAAATACGCTCCTCTTTTCTCTCTCTCTCTCTCTCTGTCTTTCGTTATATTCGCGCACACTCTCTATCAAATTTCCCCCGATCTCCCCTCGAGATCCCTTTCGTCACGATTCGCTGAAAACTTCACCCTCAATTTCACACCAAATTAATTGCTAATTACCGCGGGGATCTAAAAGTTCTGTTAGTAAAACCTCGGGCAGGAACAAAACTCCAGAGTGGAAAACTTTGATTATCGCTAAGGATTTTCGTATTCCGCTTTCCCCGCTCCCCCCCCCCCTCGGTTTAATTGTTGCCTTTTTCTTTAAAATACCAATTGTTCAAATCCTTCCGCTGAATTTGAAACGTTTTTTTTTTTCCCTCTTTCTCTCAGAATCGGCGGTACGGATCCAGATTATCGGCGTTGAATTCCTCGTAACCTTAAAGCGCCCGTGGAAAATTGTCGGAGTTCGTTAAGTTCTCGATAAAGTATGGATTTCTCTCGTAGAAAATGTAGACAGAAAGTCGGTATAAGGTGCAGTGGTAAAACGCGGCGGCACGAGAACCCGGCTTGCGCCTTGAAAATCTATGGTACTCGCAATTTCTCCTTGATCCTTAACAATGATAAAATCCGACGAGCCGGCCTCGCTCCCGCGAACAACTTCGTCTGCGTCGCACGTCTTTCCCCCAGTGTTCCATCCGGCGAAAAGGGAGCAACATTCGCCGGCGCTGTTTTGCGTCCAATTTATAGGAAATGGCGTCGGGGCACTCGAGGCACTGCCTTCGTCCTAAACAGTCGAAGGAACTCTCGCCGTCAAAAGTTTCCGCAGTATACCGAGCCAACTAGTCCAAGCGCGAGGAGGGCGAGGGGGGGGACGAAGGGGGTCTCTTAGGGAATATTCAGGAGTGAAAATTTCGAAAGTTAGACCTGTCCGTATTATCTAAGTCCCGGGGACTAGAGGAAAATGCGATGCGAAAACTCGCCCTTGGTTTCTTATGAAACGCCTCGGTACCCCGCGTCGCGGAAAGTTGGCTCACGAACAGGGAGGGATTATTTAAATGTCCGGTCGGTGCGCGCGCGCGCGCGCGCATGTCGCGATGTAATGGTTGCATTTACTTTGGGCGGATTACGGCCTCGCGCGCGCACACATCTATAAACCAACGCTAATGTATTGAAATTGGTTTAATCTCCTGTTACCCACGTGTCATTAGACATCCGAGCGGACTTGTTGCATAATGCGCGGCAGATTCGATCGATGGAAACAATACACGTACTTAATCCCTAATCGGATTCAAGGCTCATGTAGAACCCCGGCGATTATCGTATGTTTCAATGAACTTCATTCAGTCAGGAGTTAGGAGAAAAGTCCTTCTGCCCGCTATCGCATACCTGTTATAACTGAAGTATACATAATTATGCTGCCACCAACGTTTTGACGCCCGTCGCCACTTAGCCAGATGATCGCTGCTATAAAATCTGTAAATCAATCACGTGTTGTCTTGTTAAGGAAAAGCGAAATTTTCTTTGCAGCAACTTTCTCGTTCGAACGTTTTTTTATTTTCTTTAATGTAGCACATCCTAATCTCTCTCTTCCAGTTATCCGGAGAGGTGACGTACGCCGAGCTGTGCCTAGCGAGACCCACCACCCTATCGACCCTGGCGACCGACGCCAAACTAGCCAGCCTCGGTGGCGGAGTCGGCGGTCTGGGTGGCCTTCCGGGTTACGGCAGCGGTCTCGGGGTGATCGTGGGCGGCAAGCCGTACACGAAGGAAGCCACAGTCTACGCCTGCATCGACCACAACGCCAGGCCGCCGAAGCTGGACGTTTCCAACGCGCCGTCGTGCGCGACCACCCCCCTGTCGACGGCGAATGTACTCCAGGATTCCACCGTCGCCACCGTGATGAGCGGCGGCGGCGGCGGCGGCAAGCAGCACCACCCGGCGAGAGAGGTCGTCACCGTCCGCACGCCCTTGATCTCGACTCAGGAGAGCTGCGTATAGGGACGCGACTCCGACGCGCTCAACGTCAACGAGTACTACGTCTGATATGGCCGCTGGCTCGTGGCGATCGTGCGCGTCTTCGTGGTGAGCGACCTCTCGTTTCCTGGACACGCGGTGCTTCTTTCTCCGGTAACGTCCTCGAATTCTCGGGAAAAGGTATACCTAATGTGAATTATGAGTTTCGTCCGGATGCGCGAGGCAATCGCGCGCGCGCGCGCGCGCACGTCGAGCGACGTGATCGCTCGCTTTTCAGACACTTCGAACTTTCTGCCCGACGCACGACCGCCGCCTCCCCCCCGTGTTGGCGCGGGGTGCTCGTGTCTGAAACGGACAAACTTCTCGGATCGTGACCGACGACGCCGTACAACGAGGAAAATCTGATACCTACATCTCGGTAAGACTCACGCGAACGTACTATGGGTAATATAATGAAAGAGACGTCTTTGTACGCGATCTATTGCACGGTTTGCAATCCTATCGAGGTAGCTGATACAAACATTCAGAATTGACCAAATAATCTTGAAGAATACATATCGAAAGAGATTCGAATATCGGATAACATGCAGCAACCAAATTCCTTCGTTTAGACATTCCATTGTGTTCTGAATATATGACAAAATATATATCATATGTGATATGAAAATCTATAAAAGAAATATATCAAGTTTATCACTGCCCAATTTTCAGAGATTCCATTTATCTTGTATTTATCTTTGAAAGACGTCGTAAAAGTACGTAGGAAAAAAAAATTTAATAAAACTGAAAATAAATTCTGACAAACCGGAAGTTTTATTGAAGTAATGTTAGATTTCTGGAAAGGGAAAAAAACGTATATACACGTATTCCAGATTTGTATTATAATTTACATCGTAATAAAAGAAAGCCAAAGGAAGATTATATGTGTTAATATTAATGTGCTATTAATCGAAAAAACGTCGCGCACGATTATGAAATGAAATTTTCACGAGGCAACATCACCGTGTGATGCGGATCGTTTTGATTCTAAAAATCATCGACGTCGCAAAAATCTATCGAATATATGTATCTAAGAGCCCATCGATTGACTGGCCGTTGGAATGGAAAGCAACATGTTCAAGAAAAAAAATCTCTAGGTTTCCTCCGCGTACCGTGGATGTTCCGCGCCGCGGGAGGAAAAATCGATGTACCTATGTCTCGCGACGGCGAATGTAGATTTTCTATCCCGAGAGTATACTTTGTATTACAAAGTAGGTACGGGGGATAAAGAAGATCGTCGCGTTGAGTGTATTTTCGTAGAATGGCGCGTCTTTATCGACGATACGCTCTCCTCCCCGTCTCTCTCTCTTTCTCTCTCTCTCTCCCTTTTTCTCGGAGTGTCGTATCGTGTCGATTACGTCGCGCCAAGTGCAACGGTAAATTTCGGGGGAAAACGGAGGAGGATTTCTCTCCGCGGTGAGCGAGAGAGAAAGATCGACTTATTTCCACGAAAATCCGCAAAATATTTCCGCGTTGGCAACCGCGGCGCGAAACAAGTGCCGCCCCGTATAAAGCACGGGCAGTTACGAAAATCCGACGTGAAGATTTTCTCAATGTCGGACATGCTCTCGTTCTTTTGCCGTCACCATCTGATTTTATTTCTCCGTTAAGAAATACAATTTTACGGACGATTCTCGAGACTTTCGGCTTTATCGCGACGAAATGGTGTCGCAAATAAATGTACACTCGACCGAATAAGATTTTTTTTCGGTGTCAGTTTAATTAAATAATAAATAATAATAATAATAATTTATTTATATAAATCAAGAAAATAATTCAATAATTAACATCTGCTGTTCGATCGATTGATTTTTTTAAAAATACATCCATAAAATTAATTTTATTCGTGCAGCGGTATGTAACAAATAAAATTCCAGCGCGTCACGAGAATTGATTTTACTAAATTTCGATGTGTCGACATTTATTCTGAATTATTTACAGTACGTTCTGCACGCTACCGGAAATTTTCCAAGGTAAGAGTGAATTTGCTAATTATAAAATAAACGGGGCACTATCGATCTTGTCTCTTTCGCGGCCTGAACCCGTTCTTTATCTCCTCTTCCATCGTTACAACTCTCTAGTCTACTCGCGCGACTGTTGCGTACCTAATCACGCGGACGAAGATGATATTCGCGTGGCGATTTTAGGCGAGAGTCGAATCTTCGGGATGACGCGCGAGAGGAGTTTCTTCCAAGATGACCCGACGTACATCCTCGTATGCGCGAAGCGCTTGTAAATAGCGACTTTTCCTCGCGAGGGGACGAGGGTACACGGAAAAAATAAATTTAGAAATAATTATCGAAATTACCGCGTGTGCGTTGGTTAAGGAGCGCCTCTGCACTGCGCTCTGAAAATACTGTATATTACTTAATTCTAACTAACGGGACGTACCTTGTACATTGCGCAATCGTTTAATAGCGACGGGCATCTCCGTATGCATTATCCGTAATAACGTTTTTTTTTTTTCGTTCATTCGGAGGATATTTTTGCGACGGGATCGGAGACAATAACGTTGCAGAACTGTTAAATTGAAAGCGGCCTCTCGCCAACGGTAAATCATATCGTGCTGTACTCTGCGAAACTTAATTGAAGTTTGAGCTTTATTGAAATATCTCAGTCCCCCTCCCGGAATAATGCTTTTTATTTTTCAATCGGCTATCGGTTTTTATATTCCCGCCGGGACGACCTCACCTTAATTGTAATCGCTTATATTAAATCTATGCTAAAATCGACTGTCTAAATTTCCGATGCGAGCAAAGCGCTTGAATCCTCCGATGAAAAAATATTGAAAAGAAGCGCTTGGAGAAAAACAAATTTTACTATTTATATATCGCGGATGTCGCATTTGATTTATATCGACGGTAATGAACACGATATAATTCACCGTTTTCAGCACGGCCAATTTTTATCTTCGCTTCCCATTGATCCCTTCAGCACGCAGACTGACGAGACGTGCGACGAGATTTTGCGGATCAAAAAAAAAAAACAGAAAAATGCATGTCCTAGGTGACTGCCAAAACGCGCACAATCCAACTGCCATGTCGCACTCATTCTCATTGAGTTCGCCGTCGAGACGATGAGGAGCGATACTCGAGGAGGTATTTTTCGCGCGTCACCGTACGTTGTGCACCGTACAAATGTACACGCGTGTACATCTTAGAGAGAGATAATATATATATATATAATATATATACATAGGTCCTCGTCGCGCATTTGCGCAGGCGGAGACAGAGTGTAAATATCTTGTACATAGGGACGTCGAGAAAAGAGAGACTTTATTTGCGAGAGATGCCCGAGGTTAAACCCCTATACTTGTCTGAGGGACGACGGAACAGGCACGAAGGATCATTATCGACGAATTCGTTAACGACATTACGAGGTACGTTCGCCGGGAGATTGAGAGAGTATTGGTGGCGCATGAGAAAGGAGAGGAATAACGACCCAGGGCGCGCGAATCCTTCTTCTGTTTTTTTTTTTTAAATGCAACTTTCCAAACTTCGAAACTCGGCACACGAATTATTTTGTTTATTATTTCGCCCGAGTGCGCGTGTCTCTGCCGCAATATTTCCTTCTCGTGGCTAACTTATATCGACGTGTACGACGTAATTGACCGTTATTGAACGTCGTCGTGTCGTTGACGAACGTCGGTCGACGAGCGCGGAGAAAAAAGAACGCGTCGACGTGTGACGAGCGCGCTCTTCCTTCGTGCAGCAACGCAGCCCTTCGTAATTTGTAAGATATATGCTCCGATGTACAGCGCCGAGATATTTTTTCAGAGAGTGTGCGTAATACAATACCTCCGCGTATATCGTCAAGTCTTCGCGGACGCCCCAATTAACGGCCGAGGCCCGTTTGAAAGAGAGGGCGGAAACACTGTGTAATTAAAACGATTGGGATTGCGATTAATGATGTGCGGAGACAAGGAGATAAAAGATATATGTATATTGTACGTGTGCGTGTGTGTACTTGCGCCTGTGCGTATGTGCCTGTGTGTGTTATGCGTGAAGCGCAAACACCCGCGAATCTCTCTCGCCGTGCGCGTGTATGTGTGTGTGTGTGTACCGTACGTGACTGCGGTAGCGATCTGCGGTCGAGGATTAAGAATAATTAAAACGAAGGCCGGTGTTCGGTAATCCGTTCTTGTTTCAAGACCGTCTTAAGCAATGTCTCGAGATGCTAACACGACTCTCTGTGATTGGCATCTCTAGACTGTGTTTAATAAACGATCTTAAAATACAAAAATCGACTGTGAATACCGGCTACAGAGACATTACGTGTGTGGATATGCGCTTACTGTTGTGTACTTGTTTCCTGATTTTCTCGTAACTTATTGTTGTAGGAGAAGAAATAAATAACTTGCGTTGATCCCTCTATCCTTTTGAACTTACGAGAGAGCCTGTCTTCTTCCTAACGCCGACAGGCATCGCGAGAGTCATCGTTACATTTGAGTGCTATTTTCAGAGATAATTCAAACTCGCGCCTTTCCATCCCTATATCCTTCGTAGTTATTTACGTTACGATAAAGGATTTTCAAGCATTCGCGAAAGGGTTGAGACGAGACCGTTCTTTTTCGAAGAAGCATTCTTTTTTTTTTTCTTCTTTTCGGCGCTCGAAACGAGATCGAAGGACGAGGACAAAGAAAAGAGAACTATACCTCTAGTGTGCTTCAATTGAATCTTTGCAAGTTCGACTTTTCTCCCGACGCAAAAGATATCGGGTTGTATTGTTTAAACTATTGTTCCCTCTCACAGCTTCTTCCGTCGCGTAGCGAAGATAACGCGCATAATCTTCTATTTTTCACCTATACAGCAATGTCATTTTCTTAATTACGCTTTTTTTTGTAGAAAAAGAAAATTGCGCGATTATAACCATGAAAAATGCGGCTCCTTCACTTGGATTTTCAAATTGAAATTCTCTTTATCGTTTTCGAGGTTCATGATCGTTTCTTACGCTCGATCGCTTCAAATATTAAATATATTTATGCGCGCATTTAGTCGCAACGCAGTGCAAGCTGATAAAGTTATAACTTATCACTCGTATCACGTACGATGCATACAATAGCTGCAGTGCAGTAGCTGCAGTGGATCACCCGGGGTACGTATACCCCCTCCCCTCCCACCCTCCCCCGGTGTGTCTGTACACATGTACAAAAGTTCGATTGGCGGAGTCCTTCCGGTTTCGCAGGTATTTTAAGCACGCGCTCCCCGTTAACGATCGCGCACGTTTCTCTGTTCGCGCGCCTCCCTAAATTCTCGCTTCTCTCTCTCTCTCTCTCTCTCTCTCTCTCGCGCGCGCGCGCGCATGCCGCAATACATTCCACGTTTCCTGTCAAATACCGCGGCCACCGGCGCGAACGCGGCTGATTCTCCGCCGCCGCGAACATTTTGATGGTAATAAAGAAACGATGGCCACGTCGCGCGCCGCGTCAAGTTTCGCGACGCGACCCAATTTCGCGCGCCGCCGCGAGGGGAAACGAACGCGCGTAATGAGCAATTACAGGCTGATACATGTCGGCGCGATTTTGTGCATACGACTAGTTTGTCTAGCTGTTTAAATAGTTTCGAGTGTGCTAAATTTCCATTGCGTTAACGCGCTTTATATTATTCTTTAACATACTGATACATCACCGCAACCGTGTGATGTATCTCGTGAATCTCGTGATATAAATAATTCATAGTTTATACAATAAATTCAAATATAAAGACTTCAGTCATGGTTGAAATACTGATTGTCATTTTCAAGAATTCCAATGTTTACAATTAAATATTCAATTCAGTTTACACTTATTTTCTTTTCCTATTTTAAAATAAAAATATATACTTTACTCTTAGATTTTGCTTTATTTTATTATACTATACACGTAACATACATTGGATTTT